CTTAAAATAAGAGAAAAAGCTCTGCCTCCGAATCATCCCGATTTGGCTACTTCCTACAACAACATCGGTCTTGCGTATAAAAACATGGGTAACTACTCGAAAGCACTTGAATTTTACGACAAATCACTTAAAATAAGAGAAAAATCTCTGCCTCCGAATCATCCCAATTTGGCTGGTTCCTACAACAACATCGGTGCAGCGTATTCCGGACAAGGTGATTACCCAAAAGCACTTTCATATCTAGAAAAGGCACTTGCCATCTGTCAAAAATCACTTCCACCAACACATCCTAATATTAAAGCGGCAATGAATAATATTGACTCTGTGAAAAAGAAAATGTAACTGTGTTGTTTTTTCTTCTCGCTTGCTCAATAAATTGATTTTGATTGCAATTCACCTCACTTCCCAGCTTTTCTCGGTTCATTTTCGCGTACGCGCGACCAGGGAGACCCCCTGTAAGCCCGCAATGGGTACACGCAGAGCGGACCACGCCGGACTGGTAAGACATGATCATAGGTGTGACGTACGTAAACGGCGACAGGGACCTACGAACAGACGGTCTTCCCGAGTACTCCACTGCTTTCTCCAACATAGGCACAAGAGATCTCCCTGGGTCAGATTACGAAGCCATCTGACGGGCTGTGATATAAGTTAATACCTCACTCTACTACTACAACAAAGAAAAACAAAAAATATTCCATCTAGAATAGATTATATGTCTAACTTATCAAGAAAATAACTTGAAAAGTTCTATTGGCCATTAGAACTTTTCAATTTATTTATATTTATTCGCATCTCAATAAGCAAAAAAAAAGAGACTAAATTTAGTTAGTAACTGTCTTATCTCTCTATTCTCCTTCTATATAAAAAAAACCATAGCAACATACCCGATTTGAGATTGGAATACATAAATGATTACGTAAATTAATAATACATGTTAACATTCAAATTTGGAACATTGTAAATAATGATACGGTACCGTATGATTGTATAAATTTCATTATCATAATTATGTTTCAATAGAATGATTTCATACAAGAAAATCATTCCTTATATATGTTTGAGACATGAACTTTTAGTCAATGACATTACAGTGTTATTTTTTTTCTCCACCAATTAAAAGATTGATAATCGAAAAGAAAACAATTGATTCTCATGAATTCCATAATTGACGAAGTGATCATTGTCATCTTTGTTTTCGTCGACGATCAATTCATCATATATGTACTTATTCTCTTTACACTATAGACCAGCACTCAAATACATGATTGACAAATCATCTATTTCAAAATACAACGTGATACAATGTCATCATTATTGAAAAACAGTTTTTTATTTAAAATATTCTACATTGAATAAAAATTGATCTACAACATTTAAACAATTTGTTCGTATTCAATCAAAAGTAAGAAAGAAAAAGAATCATTGATGAACTAGATGATTCTAGTTTTTCGTGTCTAAACAGGGATAAATAAGTAAATTAAAATAGAAATAATATATTCATAAGACTTTTATATAATAATCGAATAGAACGAAATTATTTTATTTTATTTTATTTTTTTACTAAATCATCTAGTAAATTATATTAAAATTAATTTAATTTCTACAATACTAGAGCTTTCAACAGATACCAAAAGTCATCACCATTAAGATTGTATTGCTATTGAGCTCATCAAGTATTCATAGGACTCTTTTCTATCAGGTTTATAGTAACAAAATTATATTGAGTTTACTACAATCTGTTAAATGATTTACTACAAGATAAAATAAAATTGTTTCATTTTATTCTATCATGAAAAAAAGAATCGAACATATAAATTTGTAATAATCAATACAATATATTCGACTTGGCGTGCTGCCAGCTCCACCACAGAGAGAAATAGAAGCGAGTTTGTGTCGCTCTACACAAAAACATGCAAATGTCTGTCAAATAATGCGAACGTTAGACAAAGGTTTTAGGAAAGAATAAAATTTAAACCAATTACTTATTTTGATAGAGCATTGAATACTATAAAAAGTGAACTATTTGCACTCTGTTTTCTTGTTTCAATATAGTCAAGAGATTTCTTTTTCTTTCGACAGATCAGCAAAAGCATACCATTTTGTTTTTAAAATGTATCTTTCTTAGAGCAGCGATCGTACAGGCTAATGGACTGGAATTTGTTTTGTGTATAAGACACTAAGAGTAAAGTAAAATTTGAAAAAACTAACTGAGCCATTGAACAAAAAGGAAAGTTATTACGCCCATAGATGTAAAATCCCAATTGTACTAAATAGTGGAAATTCATTCATATAAGCATATTATTTAGTTTTGAAAAATAAATATAGATGAAATTTTTACATTATTCAAATAAATATCAAGGAAACATTTGTATTTATAAAGCAAAAAATGAAGACAATTTGTATAATAATGATAAATGAATTCTTGATTCAACAAAACTACCATGAAAAAGTTAAAACGAAAATTTTTTCCGTATCCAGATCGAGAAGTACGGGCAGGTAGTGGTACTTTCCAGTAGGATACGATAAGTTTTCCTGCATCTCTTCTGAATATTATTGAAGATGTATCGATTCTCGTTCTCTTTTTTCAAGTTTCGATCATAATACATGTTGATTCTGTGAGAATAAGACTGATTTTTAAATATGTTTTACAGTAGAAAATTAATTTATGTAAAAGTAAGAGACAATCTTTTCGAAAGTAAAAATTAAACTTGTTTAAAATAACCTTGAAATATTGATAAAAATAAATAATTAAAAGAAAAAATTCTAAATAAAAATGTCAAGAAAGACACGGCAGA